GGTTCTTACTTTAGGTTTTGACGATTTGTATAATGTAAAGTTGTGAACTCAAAGTCACAGCGAAGTATGAATTGATAGCTAAATGACAAAGACATAACTATTAAGATATTGAGATTAATATTTACTAATATGTATGTATATCTAAAAGTAGTAAATTACTATAGTTTTAACTCTTAATGGGTTATCGGTTTATCAAATAACCCAATATTGAAAACCAATACCGAACCGATAACCCGATAATTTTTTTATAAAACCATTAAGAAATCGTTAACCCAATAACCCAATAACAATAAACCAATAAAACCTTTTTCGATTCAGTTTATCGATCGATTTGGTTTTTGCACACCCCTAACCTAAGCGAGATGTTTTCCCAATGATAGATTGCTGAAATGAGTGTTCATCATGTTTTGCATCGCAACAATCTGTGCAGTTAAAGCAGTCACTGCATCTACCTTCAGCATACCTGCAGTTTTTTGTATCACAGGTTTCTCCCCTCTTTCATTCCATTCGGGGTTACCCTGTGAGATCCTGTTCAGCAAGGTGAATATCTCAGCATAAGTCTTCTCCAAAGCCTAACCACCTGCAGCTGAATCAAGTAATATTTTGGTGTTAGGCTCCAATCCTTCAATGAAGGTATGGACCAACACCTCATTAGATTGATGATGATGTGGACAACTTATCAACATCGATTTAAACCTGTACCAAGCTTGGTACAAGTTCTCTCCTCCTTTCTGTCTAAAACTTAGGATGTCGCTCTTCAATTTAGCTATTTTCCCAGATGGGAAAAATCTGATGAGGAACTTCTATGCAAGATCATCCAAGAGGTGATAAAGTTAGCGGGCTCAGAGTTTAATCATCTTTTTGCTTCCCCAAGCAGAGAAAAGGGAAATAAGGTGAGCCTCACGCAATCCTTGTTTACTCCAGTTGGAGTGTAAGTATCATTGATCTCGAGGAAGTTTTGGATGTGGACTGTTGGATCCTGTGCGATAGACCAGTGAACTGCCAATTAGTGTGCAATAGTTGCACCATACTCTACTTCAGTTCAGACCTTCCACTAGGTGCAGGTTTCTGAATGCATGATGTCACATTGATGGTACGTGGGATTGCCACGTCTCTTACCTTCATCTCAACCATTACTGCAGGTTTCTCTTGCTCAACTCTTGCTACTTGAGATGTTGGTTCACTAGCAACAAGAGGGACTGGGTAAGTGAGTCGTCTTTGCCTTCTTTGGTAGTGGGCGAATCTTTTCGGTTCAGCTAGAGGCTCTACTAATCCTTGATCGTCGTCCAGTTTGGAATTTTAGTACAACCTGCAACAATGAATTGCTAAGATCAAGTTGTCAACACTTGCTTTTTAACTTCAGAAATAAGAAAAATCAAATAATTCATAATTCTAAAGCCCCCAGTAGCGGCGCCAAAAAACTTGTTACGCCCAAATCGCAAACGCAAGTGTACATGGTCGTTCAAGTATTAAAATGGCTCTTATAAAGAGCCGGGTATCGTACCCATATGGACTCACGATTAGAATCAATTAATTTCTCCAAAACTTTCAGCTTAGCACAAGGGTTATCAAGATTTCAAGAATTATTTATTTTATAATCTAACAATTAAACAGAATTAAACAAGCGTGATTCAATTTCAAGGGTTTCAAACAATGATTGGGTGAAGTCCAGGGCAGCATCTCTTTTCAGGATTCATGCAATTTATATTATTTAAATGGGTGTTTATCAATTATCGAATCAATGATCACAGGGTTAAATGTATGATCATGGTCTCCCGACCTCTAATCGCCTACGATAAATGACAACCTAACTACATCGTTGTGCGATGATAGATTGGATCAAGTACCGAGCATTACGATTTCTTCCTGTATAGTGACCAAGCATGATTTCTAGGTATATCCCTATCCTAGATACAAATTAACCCTAATTATTAAGAGAAAATAATGCTCCCTATATCTCACCTTTTATCCTCTTATTCCTCTCCCGAGTTCAATTCGGACAATGTGTTTATTTCAATGGTGATCAGTCACGAAATACGTAAAACAAGAACATAAGAAAGATTCATATGATAATCGATATTAACCAAATGAAAACTTAAAAATTACAATCATCTTGTAGCCACAATCCTAGAACTAGGGTATTTAGCTACTCATAGCAATAGATTCGATCAAGCAATGTTTAATAATCATAAAGAGATCGAAAGGAAAGGAGTTTAGGAAAGAACCCTAAAAAATGATGAAATAGCTCTCCAAGTCGTCGTTCTTCAAAACCCAGAAAAAGGAATCATTTAATAAAATAAAATATTAACCTATTTATACTAAAGTTGAAACGGCCAAATCTAGCATACTTGGGCGCGACGCGGAGGGTTTCCCATATTTCATTATGCGAATCTTTTCTCTTCTCCGCGACGCGGTCTTGACATGGACTACTTTGCCTCAAAACTGACTTTCATGAACAAAATTCACAATCCCTCTCCGTGACGCGGAGAGGACATAGAGCTTTCTGTCTTAAAAAATTATTTCTCGAACAAGATTAGAATTCCTCTTCGCGACACGGAGAGGAAACAAAAGTGCCTTGAACTTCATTACTTCATTCTTCTTCCTTGCTTGGTTTGGCTTGTGTCCCCTTGTGATTCCGATGCCCATTTCAGTGCTCGTTTCTCACTTTAGACTTACCTACACAACTAATCATATTGGTTAGCTCAAATACAACCAAAAGACTTGATAAGACTATAAACAAACACACATTGAATTCAAACTTGGCTTAAATACGGGCATTATTAGATTTCTAGGCATATAAATACGCCTAAGATCACCTAGCTTGCCTTGAAGGTTCTTGAGAAAGAGAATTGTAGAAGAGGACTTGGGAAAATTTGGGGGATTTGCGTGAATGAGGTATTTTGAAGAGTAAAATCAGTTATAGGGGTAGTTATATGGTCAACATGACATAGTTTAGGACTTAAATGGGTAAAAAGGGACCAAAATACCCCTAATTAAAAACTGCCGGATGACTCCTACGATTCCGACTTATCGTCAGTAGGACTTTCTACGAACTGTCCTGGTCAACCATAAAGTCAAGTACTGGGGTTTAAAGTTTAGGTCAATTTGTACGACTCACCTTCTATTGTCCGTAGAACTTTCTAGGGGCCGTACTTATCGTGGGAGCCCATTTTCCATAAATTCTGCCAAGTCTGGAGTCTCTTCTACGGACCCTTCCTACTGGCAGTAGGACCTTCTACAGACCATGATCTGTAGGAAAAGTTCAGAGACCCAAAATTTCACCATCTATAAGGACCCTTCTTACGACTGTCTTCTATGGACCGTAGGACCTTGTACGATCTGTCGATATGCTCATGGAAACTAATCCAGTACCAAATTTCTGCAGCTTTTCTTTCCAATCTTAACTTTCAATTTCCAAGATGTTACAATTGGATATTTTGTACGCTGAGAAGACTGGAGATTTCGCTTGTAGAAAAGTGAGGATTATGGCCTCACTCTAATATGTCACTTCTAGTCAATAGGTTGTAAATAGTGCATTTGCATCTGCTTGTTTGACTATTCTTGTAGTGGCGCAGCCACAGTTCAAAATTTTGTAAGGTTTTGCTATGAATAAATACTTCATCCGTTTAAAAAAGAATGATTCAGTTTAACTTGGAACGGAGTTTTAAAAAAAAAGACTTTTTAATCTTGTCATTTTAAATTAAAGTTATGTCAAATGTATCAAAATGTCATTTAATCTTGTGGCATTAAACATGTCACGTGGAAAATTGAAGTTAAAGTGTTGCCAAAAAAGGAAAGAGTCATTTTTTTTGAAACAGACTAAAAATGAAACTAGATCATTCTTTTTTAAATCGAGGGAGTAGAAGTTATGCTCATTTTTTACCAAAAAATAAAGATAGATATTGCCATCTAACAAAGATTGGCAAGAGAAATAATTAGAGAACATAAAGAAATAACGGATATTGCGTCATTAGTATCCATCCCTTTATAAAGTAGCAAATACTCTTCGGATTCGCTGCAAACCAGTTGCTCTTCGTTTATCGGTTTTGTTAGTTGTTACGAACCCTTTGTTAGGTAGTTTTAAAGACAATGACAATTCAATTTTAATTGGAACCTCGTACTGCTTATCATGTATTCATGAAAAAAATTGTGAATTAATTCCAAGCAATGGAGTACACTCTGCAAAACCACATATTGGGACCATGCACGTGTAAAGCAGGGCAGCCTACTTTTCCCACTTTCTCTTTCTAGAAACCTCAAATGCTGGGTGGATCCACCTTTGGTCAAGGGATGTCGATTACCAGGTATATATAGATCAAATTTGATTTAATAAATATATATTAAAGTATTGATAACTCTTGATACAAGTAAAATGTTTAGTCTAATGATTAATGGATTTCAAAAGTTTTTTAAGGTTGTGTGTTCAAGCCCGGCTCAAATGAAAAAATTAGAAAAATTCCGGCTAACAAATGGAGTAAGAAATTTGCACACTCATATATGTTTATTTCATTACGAATAAAATGAATATTTCAATGTTAAATTGTTACTCCCTCCGTTCCATTTTATGTGAGGTAGTTTGACTCGACACAGAGTTTAAGAAAGAAAGAAAGAAAGACTTTTAAAACTTGTAGTCTAAAATAAATGATAGAAATTTGTGTGGTTGTAAATCATTTCATTAAGAGTAAAATAAACATTTTATAATTAATTTGTTACTTAATATAGAAATGTGTCATTCTTTTGAGATTGACTAAAAAAGAAATAAATCAAGTAAATTGAGACAGAAAAACACTAAATATAAAAGTCTATCTTCTTTTTTTTGGATCACTAAAACTAAAATACTAAACTTGAATCATATAAATTAGGATATATTGGCATGTAATGGGTTATTTTCAACTTTAATATAACATAATACCAAAAAAAACCCTTGGAACAGTCCAATTGAGATTTCCTATTTATAGTGAGATTTCCTTCACCTCACTAGTCAATTCTATCAAAAAATAATGGGTTCTCTTCCTCATGTAGTAGAAGATTGCTTAGGCATCGTTCAAGTTTACAGTGACGGATCCATTTTCCGATTAAGCGATGACCAAATCAACTTCCGTAACATTACCGTCAAAGACGATGGATCAGTCGTATGGAAAGACATCATTTATAACAACGATCGAAACAAAGATGGAAAAGAGAATCTATATCTCCGTCTTTACAAGCCAATTACAACAAAATGCATCACAAACAAACAACAGCTACCAATCATTTACTTCTTTCACGGTGGAGGTTTCTGTGTAGGTTCACGTACGTGGCCTAATTGCCATAACTGTTGCCTACGTCTCTCATCTGAGCTCGAAGCACTTGTTATCGCTCCTGACTATAGGCTGGCACCTGAGTATCGCCTTCCTGCAGCCATGGATGACGCGTTTGCATCCATTAAGTGGCTGCAGCATCAGGCGTTGTCAAATAGGATTACTTATGATGCCGATGATGATTCATGGATAAATCATGATTATGATAGGGTTTATGTGATTGGAGACTCGTCTGGTGGGAACATCGCGCATCATTTGGCGTTGAGGTTTGGTGTTGGTTCGCCTGAGCTTGCACCGGTTAGAGTACGTGGTTATGTTCTAATGGCACCATTTTTTGGAGGAAGTCTAAGGACTAAGTCTGAAGAAGAGGGACCTGATGAACCTTTTTTGAATATGCAAATTCTTGACAGGTACGTATACCTAATACATATACTCTTTAATCTTTAATCAGATGTCTTGAGTTCGAGTCTCCTTGAATACAAAGTCACCCTTGTTAGGGGCACTTTAGGACATCTCTGCCAAATTCTTATTTAATTAGACTCCAATATAAGTACGAACACCAAAAATAAAAATAAAAAATCAATATACATTTAGTTATGGAACCTATAAAAAAAAAATACTTATAGACTTTATGATTTGCATGGTGATGTTTTATTTTTGTTCTAAACAAAACAAATACTCTGAGCACGATTACTAATTTCCCTATAAATACGTACTGATTCACTGATATATTTAATTAAACAATAAATATTGGGACTCATGTGACACCTTCTTTTCGAGTGAGAACAACTTTCTTTTCTATCAAATTATTTTGTAGTTTAATTTGATCCAAAATCTATATTATTAGCAAATACGTTTTTCTATATAATTGAAATCCAATGATTAATTTACTAACTAATCTGTGTAGAATTTATGACATAGGATAAGATGAAGGATCCACAACAAATTTATTAGTCGTGGCTATATATTTACGTCAATCCTTCTATAGAATGAACTTTTAAGAACCAACGAGGGTTATGGTGATGATGGTAAATGCTCTTTTATGCCAAATTAGAAGTCTCAAGTTTGAATTTCTCAATGTATGAAATTGTCTTTGTTAGGGAGTGTTTTATCACACGTTCAAGCATAAATTCGGTTCAATGAATTTTTAAAAAAAAATTAAGATGTGACAAAAGATGATATAATACAATTTATTTTTTTTTGAAAGCAAACTATAATCAACTTGGGTGATCTTATGGAGGGAGTGGGGGGGAAAGGGTATAAGAAACTTCATCATGTGCAATGATGATAGAGAAATAAATTATTGAATGAGCAAATTGAAATTATTGAATAGATAGAAAGAGTGTGAATGGGATCATAGGTTCTTTAGAATGAAAACGACATAACCTTTTTATTTTTTTATTTTTTTATAAGTGTACTCTTTTCTTCGTCTCGTCTCATATTAGTTGATCATCTTATCAAATATATTAGTTGATCATTTTACTAAATATAATTGTCTCATATTAATTGTCCACTTTACTAAATTAAGAAATCATTAATTAAATATTTCATATATTACCCTTGCGATTAATTCTTTTTATAAATGTTCACATATGTTTGTAAAATTTTCAAGATTTTTTAAAAAGTGAAATAGTAAAATTATCTTCTTATCTATAATTTCTTAATATGCGTGTAAAAAAAGAAAAATGATCAACTAATATAGAGCCGAAAATTATGATAAGGACAAATAAATTTTTGAGTGGGATTAAGACAATGCAGGGAGATAATGTTAAAATTAGAGTCATGGTTGGCTAGTTTATGGTGTTGAGGAAAAGGCAACTAGAGACCACATATCTCACTACATATTCACATTTTCAACTTTTAAATCGTTAGTTTTATGAGTAGTGGAGAGATGCTACTTTCTTGGAATATACGTGGTACCCCATGTTTGGATTTGATTTTTTTTTTTAAAAATTCTTTTTAAGAAAGAAGTATTACAAACCTCTCTACACAAGACGCAAATTATTAATTTCATCTCTGAATTATTGCTATTTGACTGTCTTAAGAATGTTCTTTACTTGATTAACTGAATTTAAATACACCATATATCTTTCAACATGAATGAAATACGCCACTAAATTCTCACAAATTTAATTTAAGGATGTGTTTTCAATATTTTTCTCGATTTTTTATTAGGACTCATATACTCCTACAAGAATTTGAGACCACTTGTTATGTCATGTGACAAATTAAAGGTGTATCTAAGATTAGTTAGTCAAGTAGAGGAGCTTTTTAGACTGTCGATAATTCGGAAACGAAACTAATAATTTGCGTGAAGTTCAAAAATTTTCTTAATACTTCTCTTTGGTTTAAAAACAGGTTTTACTAAAATTAAAATCCACTTTATATATTTTGCTTTACAAATAACAGGCTATATACAACTGTTTTTTAAAAAAAATTATAAGGGTTTTTATTTTAAAAAATAAGTGCTTATGTGGTGGAGTAGACTATAACAAAAATAGTTTTGGCACCATTATATATACATATCAATAAAGAGTGTTAAAATATTTGTTGACACTAATTAATTGTCATTAAATTCAATATTGAGGAACATTTACAAATTGGGTTAATTACCACTAAAAATATATATTTAATGATAATTAAGTTATTGTCCTTATTAATTGTCGTTAAAGATCATTTTTGATGTAGTGTAAAAAATCTTTTAAATAAAATACACTACTTTTAGAAAGTTTGATCAAACAATATTATTGCTAAAATGATGTTTTTTAAATTAATTGATCAAATACAAACTGTTTCTCCAAAGTATCTTGAAAAAAATATATTTATAAATAAGTTGATTTGAGTAGGTTATTTCAGCTTATTTTATAAATAGTGTTTTATCGTGAAAATTTCAAATATATACAACTTGAAGTTGTATCTAGAATTTGGAAAACAACTAAAACCTTATTTTCACTTTCACTTTTTTTATTTTCTAATTTATTTTGTTTTTTAAAAATCTTAGTTTTTTATTTATAAAATAACCTCATTTAAATCATATTCTATGTTTTAATGATATTATATATATTTTTAAAAATACATCTAAATTAAAAATATTAACTACAAAATTATGGCCAAACACGACCAATTCAACTTCAACCTTGAGATTTCAAATAAAGTAAAATTTATTTTGATTTTTATGGCCAAACACGTAGAATTAATGTAGTTTTATTTTTAGATATTCAAACGCAATTACATAATTCATCGTCTTTTTAAGATATTAACTCCCAATTAAGGCAATTGTGTTCGCCAAAGTATAATATAGATAAAATCATACTTTTATCTAGAAGTAAAGAAAAATAATTAATGACTTTGTGAAGTGTCCGCAAAGAAATATTTCTTTTACTTATAATTTTATCTTATAGAAAATTTAGTAACAAGAAAATTTAACTAAAACTATCAATTCTTATAAAAAAATATTAAATTAAAATAAAAATCAACTGCTCATACTCAGATTCCATCTCTATCGAATTTGAAGTAATTAAATGTTCACTTTCTCATGACTAGATAATCACAAAGAAGAAACAATAACGTTTTTTTTTGGGGTAATTATAATATTATCTAAATTTGGCAAGCCTTCATACGTCTTACTAAAGGATATCCACTTTTACAAGATTTGGTAGGACCAAGTTCACCTCATATATATTAATTTACTAATTGTATATATCTATAAATAGGTTTACAATATGACAAATCCATTATTGTATTGGATTTGGTGATGAATAATGATTCTGTACTCAACAATTGCTAGATAATTTCATGCTTTAAGGATATGTATTAGAGTAGCAATATAGCTAAATGCATGTCATTGTCTCTGACTTAATTATAATAAAAATAAATAATAAAGGCAACTTACTGAAATCTTAAATAATAAAGGCAACTTACTGAAATCTTTCATGTTTAATAGTTAATTATTTAGATGCATGTTAATTTGTAATATTACAAATCTTACTAAATTTTGGATTTCGAATACATGTATCTAGTGTATCTAGATTCGTCTTGCAGATATATGAAATTAAAATTAGGTGTAATTTGTTCTAGATACACTGTATTAAAGTGAATTGCATGTATCTGACTCTCTTGCTCGCCTCTCTCCCTGTATCTAGTATTCAAGATACATGTATCTAGTGTGATTCATATGTGTTTGGAAATCTAGCCCGCCTCCTTCCTATCTCGTTCGTCTCGCTCCTTCTCCCACTTGCCTCTCTCTACTATAGTGTATCTGGTAGAAAAAATACAAGTATCTAACTTAAAGTTTGGTATGAAATTATTAATTAATGAGATAATATATAATTATTTCAAATTATAGGAAGATTAGTAATATGATAGAAATATTTGTCTAACCTTTTTTTTCTAATACTAATGACAATAATATATTTTCTTTATTATTTGATGAGCACCAAATTCCATATTATATCGATGAAACAATAAGTATAGCAGTTTATATTAATTCAAAATGTTGTGAGGAGTTGTTTTTCAATGAGCTTAATGCATATCTATTGGAACTATTAACTATATATAAATCTTTTTATTTTATTTTATCAGTATATAGTTTGAGTGATTGCGGTTGTCGACCTTTTAATTTCTTGTTCCACTTATAGTCACCTTGAACAATTAAAGTAAGCTAGTTCTGTTTTTTTAAAAAAAAATTGGATTGAAAACACATACTAATATAATATGAATGGTTTCAAATAAAATTAATTATTATAATAAAATTTGCCTATCATAATGGTTACATATGAGTCCTACCTGCACAACAGGGTCAGTTCTAGAGTTGGAAAAATCAAAGCCTACGTACTCACCTAATTTGTTTAATATGTTTAAATTTGGGTGGGTAAGTTCACACGTTAAAAATTAAGTTGATATATAGCTCAAATTAATTCAATAAAATCATATTAAAATATATTTAAAAGATATTTTTTGTTTGATATGTTATATAGAAGTATAACACCATAATAGAGAAAAAATAATTTTATTTGGTACTAAAAATCTATAAAAGAACAAATAAACAATTAAAACTTATTAAGAATTAGGAGGGTTAGTTATGACTCACATTTCAGCCAACTCATTTCAGCTCAAGTAACTTTTGAGCTGATCAATAACCTGCCCATTTATTAACTCAATTAATTTTGATTTATCAAATTAAACTCAACCCACTCACTTAAATGTCTCTATCTATTTTTAAAGATCGTGTAGACACATACTCGATTCTAATTCAATAGGTGAACATTTACCATCCATTCCCTTTTTATAGTTTTTCTTTTATAGAAAAGATACACCCGAGATGAACATAACAAATCAAATCATAAAGAAACACTTACTTTTATTTATAAAAAAAAAGTCTTTCGAAACTTCTTAATGACCTAATTTAGACATGTATAAGAGTTCCTATACAAAATACAATCAGAAAATAAAAGATACAACTTCAATTGGAGGAAAGAGTAGGTAGAAGTTAGTGATGAATATCTATCTATCATCCTCATGCTTCAAACAATCTGAAAACACACCTGCATCCAACAAAAGAGTGCAACAAAAGTAGTATCAGTACACCACACATACTGACAAGCATCATAAACCGACCTAGATAAGATCCTACAACATATCATAAAATCAGCAAGAACAACAAATATTAATATATTGCACTTAATATTTCTCAATCACACATTACAAATATCAATATAGCACACTTGACATTTCTCATCTCCAATTCAACACACACACAACAATCATAATCAACTCTGCAATTAATTATAAGCAGCCACACAATTATGAAAATTATATTCCTACTGATCTTACGATTGTACAATATCTGCAATCAGTTTCATCTGTCACTCACTCATTTATATACATGCTAAAAAGTCTTTAATTTTGAATCTAGTCATGATGACCTGCATATAATTCTAGGTGCTCATGTATCGTATCGATGTGGTACAATTCCATAAACAACCGTTAAGCTCATCTCGAACTTGGACCACTTATCATCATTATATTCATCACATAATCAGGTACCATATCAACGTGGTATCCGATCTATGCCTTACAATCACTTTCTGTAAGCTCACATCAAATTTGAGCCATTCATAATCAAAACAGTGAATGTATTCTCATCCTATCAACATATTCTAGTATGCTCATCAGTTATCTCTCAAGACAACCCATTAAGCACAATATAATTACAAGTGTATATTATAAACATAAGTCATAATAGGCAGCTGAATGGTTCACATGCTTATTCATACAAACATCATTAACTCAAAAATAACAACCACATGCTATGTTTGATGACCAATCAACATTTTATACCACTCATATCATATACAAGAGATTAATTAAAGTCTAACTCCAAATAATATTCTTAGCTATCACAATTGCTATACCTACACCATCATATTCTAGTCACATTAATCTAATTAAAGGCAATACTCAATCATTTTTGACACTTACTAATATTCAGAAAACATCACTATTCTTTTCCACCTATCACAATATAATTCACTAATTATGTAACTTTTTCTAGTTCATCCAATCACACATTATGATTTTGAGACCGCCTTTCATCCCCCATAATAATTATCAAGTTTATTTCATTACAAACATATACCAAATACAACCAGTTGACTATACTGAATTCCCAAGTTCATTTTACCTTTTTACAGTGAATTCTAGATTATCCTTCAAAATTAACCACACACAATCCCAAACATCTCAACGAACTTGTGATTGCTACAACCGTCACACCCCAAGCCTACCTCCTAGATACGACATGGCGTTTAGAACCACAAGTGACCTCAAACTAACTTCATAACATGACATAATATTAAGATTAGCAAAATCAATAGAAAATTGTAACGCATACGAGGAAACTAAAATTGAAATATTTAGATATAATTCGTAGTGCTGAGATAAACAATATCTGTAAGACAACATACATGGCAGAAACATAAACTGATTGTCCGAAGAACCTCTACTAACATGAGTGGCTAGGACAAACTCCTATCCCACTTTAACTGTTTGAAACTTAAAAGATAAATACTTAATTCAGGGATAGAGGGGTCATCTTCGGATCATGAGGACTCAACAAAGCTAACCAACGCTGACTGAATTTTTATTTATCGCGGGCTGGATGATGAGCATTAGAATCTATATTATCAAACAATATTTCCAAAAGTATGTGATTAGTGCTTTGAATGTATTGAGTATGAGGAATATGCATAATAAACATGATATCCGAACATACTGAATGTGTAAAACATGATGATCCAATGACCAAGTAAAATAACATGAAAACTAAGTAAACTGATCTGAAATACATAGTTAAAAAGTCATGCAATAACTGAAATCATGATTGTAGGAGATACTGATAACCAACATAAACCATGTGAGCTACAACATATAGTTTAGTATACTGTTCCCACATTGAAAAGAGAGTGTCTAATACTTGCTGTTAGTGAAAACTTACAAGATAACAAAAATATAAGATTACAATTGAAAATAAATATGAAGAAAATAAATCTCTTCAGGCTGATGCGCGGATATCTCGTTCTCTTTAAGGAGATTCAAGCTCACTGCAGCAAATGTTTTCACCGATCCAGCAGTAGTCCTCTTGACTTGTCCTCTCCAGAATACAACAGCCTTCACAAAGTATAACTCAACAACTCTGGACAAGAGTTGAGTCCAAAGCTCCACAAAAAAGAACACCTCCCTTCAACTAATACGAACTCTCTTTTTTGACTAACTCTTTCATTCTATATTTTTCTAGTGTATTGTGTGTGTTACAAACCAAATGAAGACCACCACTATTTATACTACAAGAAGTCTTCCTAGAATTGAATAGGAAGATAATGGAGTAGTAAATAGTGAAGATAAATGGCCTAGAGGTTACATATGTTACATGGTTACAAAGAATAATGAAGGAGTAAAGAATGAGATAATGGAGAAATAATGGTCTTGGAAGACCACGTCCAAGGCAGTAAGCAAACGGCTAGTCAGTAGCCTAGGCAATTAAGCATAAAAGGCATTTACACCAAATGTGAGTAATTAGGCACAAATGCCTACCAACGGTAGCAATGAAACTGCCCACTAACTGTTGAAACTATCAGCATCTTTCTAACTCCAAAATATAGCAAATTAATATATTAAAATATTAACATTAAAATGCTAATAAACCAACACTTGCCAAGGTAAGGACATGATATATGAGCTATGGTGGATCCACTAGATAATGTCTATCTAAGAGAAATCCTATAATGGCACGTAGTTCTATGACTTGCGGATTTCTAGCAAAGGCCCACAAATGCTAAACAGAAACCTTCATCCCATAAGGCCACTCAGTGCTAAGTATACTCCCAATGGAGACATGCATAATCTCGAAACAATAATAATTTATACTACATAATCATACTAATAACTTATACATACTGATTAGCTCCTAAATCATGATAATGGAAAACATACTGAGGGACACTTGAAAGCATCATATATCATGATAGTCTGAAAATAATCTGAAAGCATCCCAATTCATGAAAATCAGATAAACTGAGACATACATTTGAAAATAACGTAATTTTGATCATGAAAATACTTGCATGCTATAGCTCATGAAATTATCATTAAAACACGGAATTATACTTGAAATCACGGAAATTCATGGGTAAAACATGTAATTATGGATGATCATGAAGAAAATTGATTTGTATTAAAAACCCATGAAGATCGTGGAAACTTCTAGCTTGTAGGAATCATAAACTTGAAATTCTAAGGTTTATATGGGATTCAAAGGGATACCCATTGATGAAATTTTCAGATACATGGAGTAGAAACCTTGACTTTATTCTTGAAATGAAGACTTAAAACTTGAAACCCTAGTTCTTGCTCGAGAGTAGACTTGAGAGAGAAGAAATCTAATTTGGGGATAATTATGAGGGAATGGGCAAGTTATGATCTATAGGAGCCACTTAGCCCCACTTAGAATAGGTCAAAGCGACATAGTATAACAATTAAAAGAGTTGAGAAAGACTAAAATAATCTTGACTTAAAAACTGACGGAAGCCTTCTACGACTCCTTCCATGGACCGTACACCACTTCATGAACCATGAAGGTGTTCGTGAAAGCAGAGGAGATCTGTGTTCCTGAAGGTCGTCTTCTACGGAGACTAATACGGGCCGCACAAGTGCTCGTGAATGACAAGATTCCTGAGTTTTGGGGGTTTGGTTCACAGACCAATACACGGCCCGTGTAAGCTTTCACGGTCCGTGAACCCACCCATGAAACTCACCTCCAAAATTTCCAATTTTTGAGTTCAATTCCACGGATCCCTTCATGGCCTGTGGTTCCTTTTACAGTCCGTACAAACCCTTTTTTCTGCAACTTTCAGTTCTTCATGTAACTTTCAGTTCTTTCTGTTTCCCAAGACTCAATCAACAAAGATGTGCTTTCAAGTCAATTTCATTTAATTTGGGTCCATGTACACAAATAGGATGGTTCAAATTTTAGTTGAAAGGTTTGAGGGACTATAATAAACAAAGTAATTTCTATCTTGAGCTTAAATTTATATTGAAAAAAATAAAAATTTAAACTCATACGCCTTTACTGTGGATATTTCAGTAACAATGGAACAAATCATTGCATTAACACCTCTAGCTAGTCCAATAACTAATTGAAACGTTCAAATGGACCTCCACACCCCCTTAGTTATAAGCATGGATTAGACTGAGATTATGCACGATACTCGACTAATTAATTTTTATGTACTTTATTTTCCAGATTTTGGAGGTTATCACTTCCAATTGGAGCAACTGCAGATCACCCATTGGCTAACCCATTTGGTCCATTAAGCCCAAAACTCGAGCCCAAGAAGCTTGATCCACTATTGGTAATTGTGGGAGGAAATGAACTTCTCAAAGATAGAGTTGAAGATTATGCAAACAAGATGAAAGAGCTAAACAAGGATGTTCACTATTTTGAGTTTGAAGAAATGCAACATGGGTTTTTCACAAATGACCCTTTCTCACAAGTTGCAAATATGGTTTTGCAAGAGATCAAGTACTTCATGTGTAAGACCTCTTCTTAGGACTATAAGAACATATATATGTGAGCTAGCTAGTAATGTTTACTGTTGCTCCCAAATACACATATAACAGCGCATTTTTATATCCAAATGGTAGTACGTTAAATATTTGAGAGAATATTTTAAAACATATAACCAAAGTTCCTTTAGTTATTCTCTTGTAATTCATGAATGCTTTATGTAACTCTGGTATCGTAGCTATTTCATCTCCAGTTTGGGTATATACTGTGTTTAATAATCCATAGTTATAGCAAGTTGCTATTAGGTTTGCATTTGTCTTTGGTAAAGCGATTAGTTTATTATATCCTTGCAAAGTTTGAGTAATATAGTCTTCATGTGGATTTTGGGTAGTTTTTGATCTGGGGTTTTTATTTAAAAAGGTTTGTATTTTGTGGATATTTTCTATATATGCTCTGGTTATATGGTTATAGGTCTTTTTGTCCTGGTTTAGACTTTCCCTATAGGTATTTATCTGAGGTAGTACAAATATGGGGTTTTTTTGTTTTTTGGGTATAAATGGTTTTTCGAATATCTTGTTCATATTTGTATTGACATATTTTTTCTCCTCTTTTGTAGATGATGTGCTAGCTGTAGCTGCATGTAACAAATTGTTAGCTTGGGTTTTTCGGTGTTTCCCAACGTCACCTTCTAGCTCTGGAATTTTTAAGTCTTCCGATCGACTTAGCTACGCATGTTTACCGTCATGCTGCTGACCTTTCATTTTACAAGAATTAAAACATAAACAAGAAAGACTTCAATATAATATATATGCAGGAGTATGTCAAAAATCTATACTAGCCCAAAGAAAAGTAATATTTAAACTACAACATGAAATATCAAGATTAGAATATAAATTAAAGCATAACCTTAAATGAATAAGGAAGAATTTGATATAGAAGAAAAAACTTATGAGAATCCGGAAGGATTAAAAATAAAAATAATATTTTCAAACTTAGGAAGAAGATATTTAATGATAGAAAAAGAAACAGTAAAATTAGAAGATAGTCTAACTGCCATGGTACGAATAACTAAAGAAAATGAAGAAATAGATAAGAAAAAAGAAATAGAATATTTAGAATATTGGCAATTTCTACATCTATATGCGTAGTTTTAACATTAAACCATATAATTACTTTATTAAGCAATTTAATAAAAGAAAACATAGAGGTATTCCAACAAACTCATGACATACAATACATAGAATATATATTAGAAAACATAAAAGAAATTATTAGATTAATTCCTTTAGAAAAAATATATTATGAACGAATAGACAAAAACATATAATTACCCCATACCAAACAAAATATTAAAAGTAAGACAGATACAAGGCTACAACTATTTTAGTAAATTTGATTGTAAATCAGGATTTTATCATCTAAAGCTAGAAGAAGAATCTAAAAAATTAACTATGGAATATGCTTAAGGTTATTACTCAAACTTTGCAAGGATATAATAAACTAATCGCTTTACCAAAGACAAATGCAAACCTAATAGCAACTTGCTATAACTATGGATTATTAAACACAGTATATACCCAAACTGGAGATGAAATAGCTACGATACCAGAGTTACATAAAGCATTCATGAATTACAAGAGAATAACTAAAGGAACTTTGTTTTATATAAAGTTTTATTCAGCACCAGCAGAAATACTTTACGACGAGATAAAACCAATTATACAAGTAATAAAAATTGGACTAACTAGAGAAATGATTATACCGGAAAAAATAGAGGAGCAAGAGGAGATACAAAAAGTAGAGATACCAGCATTTTATGCAGGGAAGAGAATTATTGGAATAGCTACTATATTAAATGAATTAACATCCAATTATTTGAACAACAATTCAATATGGAGTTACTATTCACGAGAACAAACAATGATATATTCGAATTGTCGAGAATTTAGAGCAACAGATATGGAAGAACTCAGGCAATGGGCATTAAGTCTGTTAAAACCTGAGCAACAACCTACAACAAGAGCTATAAGGAAGGACTTTGTCTCATCGGAAATAATGACTAGATACTATAAAATTATTGGCCATAAATATCCAGATCATCAGTGTTCCAAATGTCAAGGTGAAGATAACGTGATCCCAGACGTGCAGCTAGAATAAGAAGTAACAAGACCGACAAGATAAAAAGCTATGCTAAGTGGAGCTACTTTATAAAAGAAAAGCTAGTGGAAACGTGTTAATATTGTACAAAGATGTAAAGAAAAGTTGTTTGTCTTATTTGACTTTGTAAAGTTAGTGAAATTGGGAATCTTTGGTAGTGCGGATGTAAATTACTAAGAGACAAATAGGAATAGTAGGACAGGTGTAAAGTAGGAATAGTAATAGGATAGGTGTAAAGTAATCATAGTAGGAATAAAGTAACCATAGTAAGGTTACTTATATGTGTATAAATAGGTAGCCATGATGGCAGATAGAGGCAAGACTTTCTACACGGAAAGCAAGCCTCCTTGTAAACAAAAATATTCTCTCAAATAAATAAAATTTCAGTTAAGCTATGGATTCAAATATTGAAGATACTACACAGGTATACACTTTATGATTATGCATAACTAAATTTATTAATTCCTGAATATCATAAGCATGATCAAATAAATTTATATTAGTTATTATATACTAGAATTATTTAAGCATGTTTTTTAGTTTGTTAACATGAGGAAAAAAGGGAAAACTTCTAGACTATGCCATCCTAAGGTTGAAACCATGGCGAGGAAGCCGTAAGGGGAGTAAACAGAGTTGAGGCGCTGTTAGGAAGTAATTACCTTTGAAAGTACGATGTTAACAGTGACAAGAAAACATGTTAAAATAATCTAGTTTATAGTAATCTAATATGGATAATTTGTTATGCATATGGTATAAGGGAATTATGATTAATAATCATGAATATCTCTTTACATGATGTAATGATATTAGAATATAAAACACTAATCCTGTATATCCTAAAAGATATAAAAATAATCGATCTAAGAAAGATAATATGGAATAAAATATTTGAAGAAGAAGAAGAATTAATGAACCAGGAATGGTATGAATTCGAACTCGATAGAGTAGAAATTGAAATGTTAAGATTTAATTTAAGTGATTTAGAAATCCAACATACTGATTAAATGATAAACCAAGAATATTTAGAATATTGGCAACAAACTATAATAAATATTACTTTATTAAGCAATTTAATAAAAGAAAACATAGAGGTATTCCAACAAACTCATGACATACAATACATAGAATATATATTAGAAAACATAAAAGAAATTATTATATTAATTCCTTTAGAAAAAATATATTATGAACGAATAAATTCATAATAATATATCATGAACGGACCCCCCCTCAAAATTGATTAGAACTTGTTATCTAATCAAGTTCACCAAATTGAGATTCTGTTATTATCTACATTAGCAATATCTAAAGGAAGGATTGAGATTATATCAGAGAATTTATTGTTATGAATTCAAATCTAGTTGATATGCATGCTCCAGGGTGGTAGTCGACTCACCAATCCTATTAAGTTCTCAATTGTTGTCACGATTCAGTCATGAGTGACACCCACACTTAGTGGGAGAACCAACTACTAACCCATAAAGAAAAGTTGTGGAAACCAAAATGAAAGAAAACAACTAAGAGCAACTTAAAATTTGATAAAGGATCGAGTACCCATAAACTCAATCAATAGTCAAAACATTTACGGAAATTAACCCCTAGAAACTGAAAGTCGAAGTACAAAAACTCTAATTAGTCAATAATGTGGATGCAACCTCGAAAGATAGGAAACACAAACTAATAATCTAAAGTTTGTATCCGAAAAGATGGAAAAGAAGATGTAGAGGAACCCATGACAAACATGAAGAGTAGCTCACCCTTGGATTCGAAGTCACGCGTCCCTTAATTGAGTTCTCGTATCAGCTGCCTGAATATGTTCTGTACTCCACAAGAAAATAACAAGTCTACTATCAGCATACAACCACATTGTAATGGTAGGATCACACGACCAATTCCAAACTACGAATGTAAGCAACCAACTACAACATAGTAAACATAGGTCAACACACAAAATAACAATCACAAATACATAGACTCCGGTCACAATATCCTGAATCAACAAATCCCTGGAACATGTCCCATATGATCACAATTACACCTACCCGTTCCTCTCATGGAATCATAAGTACACATATCCGATCCTCTCATGGAACCCACACACAAATCGTTAGTGCATCGATGTGGTACCTAAGCCAATCAGTGTTAGTATTTATACCATGCGTGGTATCCGAGCCAACCATTAGTAAACCTGTATCGGCATAGTACCCGAACCAATCATCAATCATAAACAACATGCACAATCACAATCATAATGAACAACAACACTTGAAACCACAAGAAAAGATACAGGTTTATTGCATAATATTATCAACATGATGTCATTTCACATTTATCCCTTACGTGTTCCCAACATGTATTACACAAGTGATACTATAAAGCAGTAGACAACATGCAAACAAAATTCGAAAAACACACAACCATTACCTACCTCGAACCAAGCCTAAATGCTCTAAAGAACTCGAGCTTTCCTCTTTTTCAGTGCCTTTACTTGATTTTGGTCTAAAATAATAATAAAATAAATAATAAGTCAATAGTGGCTTAATCATACTCTAATTATACTCAAATCCTAACCCCCAAGCTAATTTTTTGATCATTCTATCCAAATCAAGACTTTTTCCACCATCAAATCAAGTCAAACCCTCCCCCAAAAGGTAATGTCCTTGATTCTAAGGATCAAGGATCAAATTACAAGTTAAGGGAGTGGGTAATCTTACATTTACCGATAAGAATGATGGGAAACAGGTGAAAAATCCCCTAAGTCGCTCTGTAGTTTCCCAAAATGAAATAACCAATTAATGATCAGTTGAGATTTTTCTGCACAAAATTAACTTTTCCATGCTATAGTGAACTGCCCCGCTATAGCGGCGCCGCATTAACGACCTGTCTCTCGCTATAGCGGTGTGATGCCCGCTATAGAGACTTACACAAACTTAAGAGATTCGTAAACCATCCA